CGTAGCGACGTCTCAACATCGTTAGCGGCAACCTCGATATTCTTGAATAGATAAGGCTCAGCAATACCACGGTAGTATTTGTTTGTCTTAGAGAAGGCGCTGAGAGCTTTGGTGTCGCCGAGAAGACTGCTTGCGATCTGGCCATCGAGTTCGGTCGATAGCTTCTGGAGAGACATTCTAGATGTCGTTGGACCGGGTGAAGTTAAGTGTTATGGGCGCAGAAGGATTCCGTCGATATTGCGGCCGCGCTGAAGCTGGTAGATGTGACGTCTTCACTGAGGTAGGTGAATGCAGTGGTGTAGATCGAAAATGAGTCCAGCAGGTAAAAGCTGCGAGCTCGACCACCGTGAGGGAAGCATGTATCAGGAAGTGAGTGCTGTCGCGTTGACGTAGCAATTAAGAGATATATATAATTTGGTTGGCGTTGGTCGAAATTGATGGTGTAGACAGAACCCATGGTTGAGTGTGGAACTATGAGAACCACAGTCGAACATACCGCTTTGACCCTCCTTTCCCAAATTACTTGGGTACACCCGCCCATAGTGAAAGACTCATCTCTTCCCACCTGCGTGCACATGAGCATTCACTCTCACCTCTCCCACCGCCTCAACCCCATGAACATCAAGACCAACACCGCACCCACTTACGATGTAATACGATTAAACATTGACCAGCCCGAGCACACCACCTATCTATGTATACATATGCTCCTTTCCCTTTGACGCCACTTCATAACCTTCGTTGATCGAGCTGGAGAAAACGAACACGCTGATTCCGAAGAAAATGTTCCAAATGCGAGAAAAATTGCGGTCTTTCATTACCTCAACGGCGAGCCCACCCTGCCCTCCACAGGCGTCTCACCCGTCGTAACGCGTATACTAGGCAAGCGCTCTAAATTCAGATTCAACGCCGGCAACTGCGGCGCCCTCGTATTAATCGGACTTTCGTAATTCGGAGGATCCTCATACGCAGGCGCGTCTTCCCCTGGTACCGGCCGACCATTGCTTCCACCAACTCCACTTCCACTCCCACTATAACTCCTCTCCGGATTCAAACTCACAACCTCAAACCCTTGGGCATGCGGACTAGGACTAGGCCCAGCAGTAGAATGCGAATTCGAGCGCGACGCATCCGCAAAGTCGTAGTCGTCGGACCCGCGGGATTCAACGGATTGGGTGAGAGATGTGACGGAGAGGCCGCGGGCGTGGGCGTCACGGCCGCGGGATTGGCCGGAGAAGGAGGCGGCGGAGTCGAGGAGGGGTCTGTTGTCGCTTTCGGAGGAGTTGGCTCGCAGGCGTGTGCCGTCGTGGCGCGCGACGCCTAGATCGCCATACGCAACAGCGCTCACGCGTCTGTCTCTCGACCGGGTCCGGGCTTGGTGCTCTGCGATGAGCATTTGTGAAACGGAGAGGTCGGCCGCTTCTTCTGCGCGGCGTCGTATATCAGCTAGGGCTTGGACGTCGCCGCGAGCGCGGGCTTCTCGTCGGGCTTGACGCCGGGCTTCGCGGTCGGTGGCTTCGATGCGGCGGGCGAGCCGGATTTGATATAGAGATTCCATTTCTTCTTCCCGTTGGCGCTCTTCTTCGTCGATGGTTTCGGGGAGCTCGAGGACTGTGTCTACGCCGCCGCGTTCGCCTTCACGGGCGAGAACGCGTTCGTTCTCTCGTGCGGCAGACGAGTAGGCGGGGAGTGTCATGACGCTGCGGACAGAGGTGTTTCGGTCGACGCCGGCACCGGTTGTGCTGTTTATTTGCCTTTCCGGGTCTCCTGCTGCTGCTCCGCTCATCTCACCACTCGCCCTGCTTGTGCTCCCCCGGTACTCGGTATCCTGCAGACTGGTCGAGTAGTCATTTCGGCGCGGGCGCTTGCGGAACGCTTTCCACGAGAATAACGAGGGGAGTTTGTCGGCAGACGACTGTTGTGCTTTCTTTGCGGCGCGGTACGGGGCGCGGAACTTGAGGGTTGAGAAGTATGTGATTATGAGGATGGCGAAGATGGCGACGGCGATGATTCCGACCTGGGGAATGCAGGGTTAGCCAGTGCGTGGTAGAGTATGGTAGAGCGATGGCGTAAACTTACTACGACAAAGGTCCTGCCCTGCTTGGAGACTTCTCTCCTCTCGAGGGCGCCGTCCCTTGCATGCCGCGCGGGTAACAACATGGCACCCAAACAACCATGCACCGGGCCCGTCCAAACGTCAAATGTCACCGGAGTCTTGTTTTCACAATGAGATCACTTGTTTGGAGAAGTGTGGATCGCCCAGGCTGCCAAAGGCCCGCCTTCTTGGTTCTGTTTGGCACTAGGGAGCTGTCGAACCGTTGTGTCGTGCGAAGGTTAAGGCAAAACGTTAAGAACAAGCGGCGGGAAGCGATGTCGTGGATGCGGTTAGGATATTGGGGGTTAATGGGTGTATAGTTTGGCGACTACGGAATGGCCGAACAACAATGGGGGAGAGCCGCGAGTAATGGTCTGGCTAGGTCTGCGCCCGGAAGTTGGTCTTGGCAACCTGGCTGAGTGTTGATGCGGTTGCCGGGATGATGGAGCTGTGACCAGGGGCTGTAGCACGACGAAAGAGGAAGAATGCAGTACCATGCAGTATAGTGTAGCAAAGCAGCACTGTATCTTCCAGTCTCTACACATTCAATCGCATCCTCAACAGTTATGCATTATGCAAGATGACAATCAGCCAGCGCCAGACGCCAAAAGCAAGCCTCATGTCATCTCCAAAACCTGCTGCTATTCTTAGGCGCCATCTCCCACATTCAAGGTCCCCACTAGCGCCGGCTCCTGATTGGCGCATCCTACTGCAGGATGATCGCATTCACATGTTTGATCTACAGCGCCGTGGCACAGAGCCACAGACAGACAAACGGCGGTCGCAATAACGGTCGTGAACAAAATTTCGAAAATGGTTATACAGTATATTTTTTGGAGTAAATGACTTGAATGGAAGTCGACGCTGGCTAATTTAACTCCAAGATGGAATACAATAGATACAAGAACCTGGATGCGCTTTCATGACATGATAGACTAAAACTTCTTATCCAACTTTTTCAAGAAACTGCCAATCCCCTTCTCTACTTTATCTACCCGCTTTCCGATGTTGGAGTTGCGTTGCGGTGCGTTGGGGTTCTCGTGGTCTTGCACTGCGGCTTCGTTCTCCGTTGGCCGGTACAGCTGCTGATGCAGGTTCTGTCCCTGTGGTGGGGTTCCCGTGCTGCCGTACTGGTATTGCGCGTAGCCAGGAGAAGCCATTGGCTGGTATTGCTGGGGAGGGAAGCCGGGAGATGGTAATGCAGAATGCGCGGGAAGGGATTGGGGGGCAGGAGGGAAGCCAGGCGAGGATGGGTAGTTGGCGAATTGGTGGACTGGTGCTGTGGATGTTCGCTTCATGGCTGGGGGTGGTGGGGTGCCGTTGTACTGGCCTGGTGGAGGGGCAGACGGAGGGGGTGCGAAGGACGGCGGACTTTGCGATGCACTTGGTGGGCCTGTGAAGCCCTGGCCGGGTGCTGGTGGTCCTGGGAAGTATGCCCCTGATGTCGGTTGAGGCGCGAACGAAGCTTGTAGCGGGTTGCCGTATTGCGCTGCATGCTGATCGTGGACTGCAGCAGATCCGAGTCCCGTACCATCGTTGGCGTCTGGTGGAGGTGGTGTCTTCTCGCGATGAGCAATTGGCTCAGGCGCGGCTGGAGCCGCCGGGTTGTATGCCATTGGAGCGTAGTTGGGTGGCTGCTCGCTGGGAGGAGGTGATGTAGGGGCGGGCGCTGTGGGAGGCCCGGGGAACGACTGTGTTGTGCTGACACTCGGAGTGCGGCTTGTGTGTGATATGGCGGCGCTTTCCAGCCTTGCGATGACTGGGCTCAGGGCGTCGTTCTTGTGTTCCGAGTGTGTTGGCGTGGCATTGGGGTTGCGCACAATCTGCATTTGGTGTGGTTGCAGCACCCTGCGAATGGAGTCGAGGAAGAGGCTCGCGTCTTCCGGCGTCCAGAAGTACAAGTCTACCGTGTGCAGCCTGTACATGTATTTGCCCTGGTTCGAGGGATCGGGTGTGGGGAGATGCCATTGCGACGTGTCTTGGTGGGGGCTCGCGCTGCCATTGTGACTCCGGAATGCGTCGACCGTGAGGGTGAACAGACATGGGTGTTTGTACGTGTGCTCGATCTTGACTGTGTCCAGCTCTATACAGCATGTCAGCTCGTGTGTCATGGGGAAATGTGTCAGCACTCACGGCCTGAAAAGGCATCCTGGTTGGGAGTGCCCGCATGGTTCGCGACTTCTATGCGCCCACTCTGGCGCATAGGGTTGTGGTAGAGGTAGACATAGGAGCTCTTGTCGAAGCGGTGGTGCGGGGGAACCTGGGTAGGTGGGGAGATGTAGTAGTGGACGTCTGCGAAGCTATTCACAGTCAGTATGGGTTCAAGATGACCCAAGCTACCATCACTCACAGCGTCAAGAGAGATACCTCTCCCTGCTGCGGAGGCATGATGTTTAGTGTAAGATGGCAGTGTATCAGGCGTCCAAGATATCTCCAGGCCAAGATGTGGGTTATGAGGTCAGCTGTAGATAGTGAAGTAAGACGGAAGTTAGCACTCTCACATCAACGCAAAGAGAACAAAGACATATATAGGGTCGCAAGGCTGTCATCTCAGCTCCCCACGGGTGCAGCCAACAGCTGCGCGCTCTTCTATTTGCGTCGTGCTCGAAGCGCCGGGTTAGTGTCTTGTTTGGTAGGCGCCGGCCCAAGCTCTGCCGAATGGGCAGCGGGCAGCTCTGCTCCACCCGTGACTTGCGGACCTCCGAGCCAATCCAGAAATTTGCTGCATCGAGCATCGTCGAGCACGAGCATCCGCCGCCGACGACGCGCAATTGAGCCAGCACCCTGCATTGAGCCTCGCCGTCAACTGGAACACATACACTGGACATACCGTCGCCCACACGCATCGCGCTCGCCCACCGCCGCAGCCCAGCGAGGGCAAATTCCCACGTCCACACCCGCCAACATGTCTCTCGTCAACCTCGCACACGTCTGCTCGCACATGCAGAATGCGTCCAAAGCCCGGCTCGGACTGACGTCAATACCCGTCTCCAAGATGCACGTCAACATTGCACTCGGCCTCCAGCGCGAAGGCTTCCTCTCCTCTGTGACCCTCGGCGGGCCCACACCACCCAAGCCCTTCCTGCTCCAAACGCAGCAAGACCCCGAGCAACACGAGCAAATGGCACAGAAGCTCGCAGAAGAGCCCTGGCTCGCCTACCCCGTCGACGCCCCCGCCGGCACAAAACAAAAGTCACCCCTCGGCGCAGAACAAGTCCACGACATACACGTACCCCAGAACCCCGCGCGGAGACGGTTATGGCTCGGCCTGAAGTACTGGCAGAACGAGCCTGTCCTGAAGAATATGAAGCTGATATCCAAGCCCACACGGAGGATATGGCTGACGAGCGAGGATCTGGCTAAGATTACGCGGACAAGAGAGTCGAGCTATGTGAAGGGTTTGACGAGGCCGGGAGAGTGTATGTTCATCACGACGGATCGGGGGATACTGGAGGCGAGGGAATGTGTGGAGCGGCAGTTGGGTGGCATGGCGCTGTGCAGGGTGTGGTAGAGAGACGGGGTGGTTATGGACTGTAAGACTGCATTGTACCAGTATCATGAGGGGGCGGGATTGCATATATGAGGGCTTGCATGGAGTAACGCGCGACGCATCTGTAGAAATATCAAACCCAATTACCATGTATTCTGAGTTCAAAGGACGGATCTTGGTCGAATGCGTTAGTGCGCTGATACCAGGGCTGGACTGGAGGGGTGCAAGAACCAAGGCGATGCGAGTCAACGTCACCAACAGTGAACAGCGGACATCCCGGTACAAGAGACTACGCAACATGGTCAGCCTGCTTGTCATCGCACATTGGGCAGCAAAATTGTTGTTGTGAGCTAAACATTGTTGTTGGAAGTGGTTGTTGACATTTCATTTCGCTGTAGTTCAGAGCATGGATTCGCTCGCGACCAAAGGCCAAAATGAAGCAATTCTCTACAAAATTCGTGCTAATCTACATGACATCCCAGGATATATCCTCGTAACAAACTTCGTGACCACGTTGCTTGCATCCCAGCGTCCCAATTACCAAAAATCAAAGGGGGAATATGTCCAAAGAAATTCGTAAAGATCTGACCATGGCCTTTTGCCAGATGTTCCCAAACCCCAACTCCAGTACCCGTGATAAGCCTCATCATACATCTCTCGTCTTCTTCTTAGACGTAGCTGCGGCGGCTCCGGCTGTGGCTCGCGCGGGGGCTGCGGGAGTGGTGGCCGTGACGCGATCGGTGGACTTCGCGCTTGACGACGACACGGTCGTTGCGGTGGTGGCGGTGCACAAGGAGGGCCAGGATGGATGTGATGAAGAAGAAGATGATGTTCCTGTGCAGACGTCAGCTTTGGGATCGCTTACGACTTCGAAAAGTATAACTTACATGATTCCAAACGCCCACGAGGCCTTGAGCATGGCGCATTGGCGGTTGGTGTCGACGCCGAATCCAGTACCACTGACGGTGAAAAGACCCAAGTCGGTGCTGTAAGAACCACTTCGACGCCAGTTGGTGCAGTCAGCATCAGCAATGCCGCGCAGAGCGTAGACGGCTCCGATGAAGGCGCCCATGAAGAGAAGGTCGATAAAGGCAACGAATTTGGCCGAGTGCTTTGCGCGCGTGTAGAGGAAGAGGGTGCCTAGAGCCCATACTGCGCCGAGGACGGATACGATGAAGAGAACGAGGATGGATGTGGGCGTGAGGAGGTTGCGGCTGTTGTACCAATCGACGAACCACGCCAGCATACCCAGCGCAGGTATGAGGGTGATGATCTGGAAGATGCGCCAAAAGATGAAGGATAGTCCGGAGAACGACATGATGGCAGTTGACAGGTACCGCAGATGCTTCGTGGGAAGACGAGTTTGCTTTGGTCGGGGCTGTCAGCTGAACCACGGTTGGTTGATGCCGTGTAGCGAGGCAGGTGCGATGCGACCAAGTGAGAGATGTAAGACGACGACAAGGCGCTGAGGAAATGCAGGGCAGCGCGCTTTTAAGATCCTGCAGCGACAACAGACCAGGATGCGTCTTGCTTTGCGATCGGGTTGCAGAACGGTCGCGGTGTTGCGGAGTGACGTATAGTCGACGGAAACCGGGATGTATACTTTAAAGTGGGATGTCTGCTCGGGTGGTGGGTATTGGTGAAGGCGGGGGAGGCTGGTACTGTGTGGCTGGATCGTGCCTTCCTCATTTCGAGCCAACCAACACCAAAACACCGCATCCTACGACGACACCTCAAACACGCCATGCTTCGGCGATAGAACTGGTTTTCAGACTACGCCGGAGTACTAGAATGTGTTCGCATCCTGCCATGCTTTGATTTTCGCTGCTCGCTGCTCGATGCGCATTAGCTGCTTCGCGTGGAACCACAACAACACACGCCGCAGCTGAGAGTGGGCCTAGACAGCTGTCGGCGCCCAACCCGCTTCCCTCAGCCTAGACGGCACATGGGCGTCGACGTTATTCGTGGATGCTGGGCAGAACCGCCGAGCAAGCGGCCGTTGACAGCCAGCAATCACCTGAGATTCGACCCGACCAAACGTCTTTGCGCTCATCACCCAGCGCCGTGGGCCGAGCGCCCCAAACACAAGGGATACCTTGCGTGAATCCGGACGTTGTGGAGCAGCACCGCGGACCACCTACACGTTCAAATCTCACGCCGCTCGCCTGTGCCGCTCTTCCTTTGCATCCTCGCCTGCGCCTAAGGATTGTTTTTCATTTCCTGCTGCATGGTGATGGGATGTGCTGACCGCCCAGAAGCACAAGAATCAGCCGGACTTATCACAGACTGCCATTGTCTGCTATCCAAGCCATTACACTGGGGTAGCTATTGGTCTCTCCACACGCACGATGCACCTCGTCCGCAATAGGGACTGCCATTGTGCTGGGCTGTTCGCTTCGCGGATTAACCTGCAGCAACTCGGTAGGATGCGTTCCTTATCAGCAGCCAGACCGCTTTCGATCACTGCTTACTGCCCTGTGCTCCACATCCTGTACGGCGGGACGAGCGGACATGGGTTTTCGAGAATAGGTTCAATATATACAACTCCGTACCGCATAGCTGTCACCCTTTTTACCCCTCGCGTTTTTCTACGCGCGTGTGGAATTTCTTGCCAATTCGATTCCGTACATTTTGATGCCATTGCACACTCTTTCAGCCGTCATTTTCTAATCAAGTACGACCACGTTCTCAGCCGGCGCATCTCGTTCTTTCCGTGTCTGGATTCACGCGGCAAAAATAGCATTCATCCGAATATACGAGGGAGCGAACCCCAGCATACTCCAAGCCAATTTCCACTGCCTCCCGACGTATCTCTTAATCTTTCGAAGCCTATGCCAGGAACTGATAGAACCTTGGGTGTATTGGAAATATCAAACGACATTGTCTGAACAAGTCATCCAGCCTGTCGCCGATCGAAGTTTTGCTATCGACTTCAAGAGGACATGTCAGCACGAGGCGCTCGTAGTCGCAAGGTACAACAGAAAGAAGTTGAGAAAAAGGAAAAGAAAATTGCTGTAAAAGGAAAGGTGCCAGAAGCCACACAGGAAAGCCGAGATGGATTTGCGGAATGGCGTCCATCACCAAACCCCAGCAATCCGAGAAGTGGCATAACACGCTCCTTCACAGTATCCAGCAACAACAGCCATACGACATCTCAGAGTAGTTCTACGCACGATGGCGGAAATGGTAGCAGGCCCCGACTAGCCACCCTTCCGTCTGACGTCTCCTCTGGATCCCGACCTCCGCCAACGAAATCATCGAAGGCAGAGTCAGTCTCAGACACATCTTCAAAAGGCAAAGAGAAGATAAAATATCAGGCAAAGGGCAAAGACACAAAGGCGCCTCGTGGTAGAGGCGGAGGAGTGCCGATCAAGAAGACCGTCGCGCCGTCACCTGGCCCTCCCGTCTTCAGATCTGAGTCGTCAGCGGGTTCCTACGCTCTTCCGCCTGACCAGAAAACATGGTTGAACTTCAAGATATGGACCGACGGAAGAGAAGAACTGCGTCCATACGCCGGGTTTAGCTATGACGAAGATATGCAACACGGCAGCGTACTCATATACTTCAAAGAGGAAGTAGACGAGGACCACCCAATCCCCTCGATTCGGGCAGACTTGGATATCCTCCAAAGCTCGGGATCCACCTGGCTGAGCAATGCCCTGCTGTATAGTCTCATCGATGATAACGACGTGGATGACTGGGCTCTCTCGGAAAATGCAAGTTCACCATCTCAGCCTTTCTCGCCGAATTTCCCACAGCCAGCACAACGACGAATGCTAGGGCCCACATCACCCGGTGGACGGTCTCCACCGCCCTTCGACATCGATCAGTCACATACCAGCATAGATTCTCGGGCTACTTCTAGGGCTTACCATCCATCCGAGGCCTCTCATGGGCGCCAACCTAACTCGCCGCCTCCCTTCCAGCAGGGCTTCCAACGGAATCCAACCCATGAGATATGGTTTACTGCGCCTGACAACGTGAAGACACCACAGGCACAAAGACTTCATCATGTTGCTATTCGTAATTTCCTGGCCATGTTACATGGCAAACCCATAGTTGGATCGGACGTGTTCGATATGCTGAGCACGCTGCAACCTCAAATACACGTCATGTACGATCTCGACACGGACACACGATCTGGAATGACAGCCAGAGAACGAAGCGTGCAGATGATTGTGGAATATCTCGGCCGGTATGGAATTGACGACCTGCGCAACAACATTCGACGAGCTCTAGGGCTTCTGGCTTGGGCAGAACAGGATAGTGTCAAGTGGCGACAGGGCTACCTCGAAAGCTTTGTTCACCTGGCTGGTGTCATGACGCAGGAAATTGAGGATCATCCAGATTTCAAGCGACTGTCAGTAGTCACAAGGCGGAACCTTGGGTTGGCTGCCAAGACACTGCAGTTGCGCGTCATGGAAGCCGAGGAGAAGCTGTCCACATTTGATTTTGGTGATCTTTGGGAGGACAAGTTGAAGACCGCGAACAGCCCAGTCTACCAAAGCTATCAATCGTTTCGCCAGTTCCTTATCGGGCATTTCACACGCATCTACGGTAACTGGCCGCCGACTTCCGACAAGACATGGCTTAATCGCAAGGTTGTAAATGCCATGCAAGAAGACTTTGGTTCGCTATATGACTACTTCGTCGATAGGGAGGTAATATGGAATCCTCGAGAGGAGCGGGCCTCCCGTAAGTGGGAAATGGCCCATAGGAAGAACGACAGCTTCAGGGCAGACCTGCCAGAGCTGGGGATGACAGATATGCTGGTCACCTATGATGCGAAGAATGGGTATGCGCATATCCCGCATCCGTACCCGTTACTTCCGAGAGAAGTGCCAAAGACAAGTAAAGACAAGGAGAAGAAAAGCTTCTTTTCGTCGTTGAAGAAGGACAAACCCAAGGATGCTACGAAAGACGCGAAGGCACAGCTGCAGCTCTCCATCATCTTCAGCGATGCAACGAACATTGAGAAGCTAGATGTCAACTTCAACGGTAATTGGTACACGACTGCCATATTGATGACACGTACTGACATTCGATAGGATCCACACTGATCGACAAGTTTGAACAGTTTGAGCTCACCACCGACCTGAAATACATGTCACCGCGCGAAGCCCGTCTCGGACGCTGGGTCCTCCTCTACGGCATCCTTCAAGTCCTCTCAACCCTATCCGTCGACGTCCAGGGTCTCAGACACACGGACGGCGTCCGCTCCTTCCTCAACACCGACTTAAAGCGCATGCCCGAGTGGGTAAGCAACGGCCAGATCGAGCACCTAGAAGCCCGTCAACAACGATCCTGGTGCTGGCAGCGCGCCTGGGACCCCATGCCCGCGCAGTCCGCACCCGTAGAACTCGAAGCCACATCAACCAACGCGAACGAGCGTACGAACCACCACGATCACCAAGAAGCACGACGTGCGGAGATATCCGCGCATAATTTCCCCAGTCCACCGCCTCAACACGCTCTTCCGCCGCCGCCTCCGACTGCCGTTTCGCATAATCTCGACGGCGCCACGTTGATGCAAAACGACATTCGTCGTCTCGGCGAGAAGATCAACAACCTCTCCCTGTCCCATAACGCGGGTGTACATTTCAGGCAAGAATTTGAACGGCGCCGCGAAAACGAGAAGGTCATCCAGGATGAATTCCATGACCGCAAACCGCGATTACAAGGCGAGACTTTTGGCCCGAGGGCGGCTCGGGATCGAGTGGACAACAACAACAATATCAACAGCATCAACAGGAACGACACCTACTCCCCACCCCGCCTAGACTCCCTCGCCCTCTCCCCTCTCCCAAACTCCCACGCCAACACCCGCCCCCGATCCCGCGACCGCGACCGCACCCACCCCTCCCAACGAAGCACATCCCGCCTAGACGCCACATTCCTCCTCACAGACTCCGACTACTCAACCCCCAGCCACCACACCAACGACTTCATAGACAGGCAGCAAGCGTCCCTCCTACCACCACCCTTATCCCTGCACGCCAACTCACGCAGCCATACAGCTAGTTTGACAACAGACATAGGTCACTATCCGTTTGGTGCGGGGGAGAACGAGGGGGATGGGGAGGGAGAAATGCAGTGGCCGGTTCCGCCGGGGTATAGTGAGAGTAATAGGGATAGACGGATGGATGGGGATGGGGGGATGGGGACGTGGAGGGAAGGGAGGGAGAGTACGGTGTTGGGGGATGGGTATCGGGTTATGAATTTTGAAGACGAGGAGTATGGGGTGAGAGGTGGTGGGAGGGGTGCGAATGCGAATGCGGGTGTGAGGAGGGATGCGAGACGTGTGAGGGAGAGGGGGACGTGGGATACGTGAGGCGGGGGTTAGGTCGGAGTGGCGGTTTGGTGGCGGAAAGGAAAATTTGGCATGCATTAGATTCGGAAGTCTCTCGGCCTGGATATACCCTTGTTTTCGTTTGTCTTGTTTCTTTCATGGGCTGGAGTATAGTATCAAAAGCAAAAGATTGCATGTAAGGAAAAGGCTCCATAATGGTAGGGTACACTAGTCTTTTCGCATCGTGGATTATACGTGGTGAAGGTGCATGCTTGTTGTATTCGTGTAAGTTCTACTTATATCAGTCGAGCAGATGGGCGATAGTGTACATGTAGCTGTGTGTACTCATTACAACTTCACTAACATAAACTTCATCGTTATACACTCCATAAAACCACAAAATTGGAAAGCCGAGAAGCATATTTCCATACAACAGGTCCGTTTTAGGTAAGACTACCTAACAACCAGCCACACCAGAAACATACACACCACTCTACTTCTCCATCAAACTCTTCACCCACCCCGGCACAGCCGGTCTCTTCTCCCAGCCCTCCTTCCAACTCTCCCTCCACCCCTCTTTACTAGCCGGCATAGCAAACACCGCTGTAACAAACCACACCGTCTCCCCTTTCTTAACATCCTTCTGCAGAACCGGCAACACCGTCCTACTCTCCTGCAGATTACTATTCGCATCCGCTAGAATAACGCTTCCCTCGCGGTTCGTCTGGTAAACATCCGCGATACCCACTGCACCCGTACGAGGCGAAGCCGCGAACGCGGATGTGGAGTCTGAAGCGCCGCCCTCGGGGATGGACGTGTCTAGTGTACGCAGTGTGCCGTTCCATTCGGTGAGAAGACGGCCGTCTGATTCGCGAGCTCCGTACACAGCCCACGCACCCTCTGCGCTCTTGATATCGCGACCAGATGTCACGCGATGGACGCGGAGATGCCAGTTCGGCGTCTCTTCCGCCGGCGGCACAAGATACGACGTAATCTCCACATCACCCCAAGGCTTCATACTCGACACCAGCACGGGCACGCCATCGAAGTTCTCAATCGACGAGTCCCCGTTCAGCGCTCTTCGCATCTTCCACAGCTCGCCTCCGTCGTCGGAGAAGGCAAGTTGGGATTCTGGCACGAATTGCTCGAGTTCCTGGTAGCCGGTGGAGACGGAGTAGGCAAAGGCGGCGCTGTAGGCGAATTTTCCGTATTTTGCGTTGCTGTTTTTGATGGCGTAGTGGCAGGATTGGCCGCTGGAAAGCATGAAGCTGTGGCCGCCTGAGCGGCACACGATTTGGCGGGGGTGAGGTAGCGGACGCACAACGCGCGTGTCGGCATATGGATGCGGTTCCTCTTTCGCGGACCAAAAGGGATGGGATTCGGGTACTGCGAGACAGGCGAAGGCGAGCATGCACCAGTACGGGCTTTGAGGCGAATTGTAGTTCTCCGCGAGGTAGTAGTTGGGGTACGAGTAGCCTACCGTGAGCATGCCGTTGGATTGAAAAATGTCGTGTTGAGTTGTCCACCACCGGAGGTTGCGCATCCAGATTCCTTTTACTACGCCCCAGGAGAGGGGAGCGGGCAGCTCGAGATCTGCGTATGCGATTGCGCCCCAGAAGGCGACCATGGCCCAGCGGTATGTGAGTGAGCGGCCGAAGGTGATGGCGCGGCCTTCAGGGTCGAAGAAGTGGACGAAGTCTTGGGCGTACATGCGTGCGCGATCTTTGTATTCCTCGGCTTGCTCTGGGTCGATGTCTGCGGCGAGTTTGGAGTAGAGGAGTTGTAGGTATTGGATCGCGAAGGAGCCGGAGTAGTAGTCCATCTGGCGGTACGTATCAGGTCCGTCGTTGGACCAGCCGTCGCCGCGGTAGTACGTGTTCAGCTGTTTGATGTCTTTCTCCAGCTGCTCTTTCGACCACTTCGCACCATTCCTCTCGAGTCCCAGGTTGGCGAAGACGCGGAACCAAAGCCTGACAGAACGTTAATATCACGTCTCATGACACACGACAAGGGGACGTGAAGGAATAAGAGGGCCATCATACCAATTCGTATCCGGCATCTTCTTATCATTCATACTCCCCAACCACGTCTCTACATTCTTCTTCTGCCTCTCCGTCAACGGATCCCAAAACTCTTTATTCGCAACCGCAAGCGTGAATCCAATGGGACACGCCTCCACCATCCTCTGATCCGTATCCTCCATATACCCCCAGAACTCCGGACTCTCAGGATCCGTCCCAGAAATGAGGCCTTGGACAAACTTGTCCGTTGCAGCATACTTGTTACCCCCAGCTAACAGAGGCGCAAGACCCCATAACGGACGAGCGAAGCCTTCGACCTGCGCACCTGTCTCATCGAAGCGTGTACCTGTGCTGCCTACTTTGATCAAAGCATTGTTGGGTGAGAAACCCGGAATGAGGGGGTCCAGCAGTGAGCCCACAGCGGCAACGACATCGTCGCGCGTCTTGAGCGGATTCGTGGAGAAAGGATGGAGGTTGAACGCCCGATTGGCGTTTGCCGTCTTCGCCGCCATGCTTCGTGTGACCTAACGGTATTTGCTTCTGCGAGTGGCTTGACAACAATACGTGACGATCACTGACTTGACGGTGGATATCGCAACGCCAACTTCCGTGTTCCGCTATCTCCGCTGCGCGGACGATTCTGTTCAGGCTTTCTTGGCGATGAGTTTGGCCTGGAATAATCTTGATGTAAGATGCGGGTGGATGCGTATTGGTGGTGTTAAGCGCAGCCGATTAATGCCCAGGAGCCCAGAACCCCAAGACGGTAGAACAAGATGCAGGCAGCGGATTGGGCGTACTGAGGCGAAAGGCTTGACTCCAGTTCGGTATTCGATTTCGCCGTCGTCGAGCACAATCACAGACACACAGTCTTTCCAATGCTTGACGCTGTTGCTCTTGTTTGTGGGGTTGTTGGGTTTAAGTGACGGATGCAACGTATTGGTGATGCGCAACCTCGGTGCAAGATCGTACCAACACAATGCCGAAGCCTCTTTCATCAGCCTGAACACATACAAAGTAGACAAGTAGACCAGCACCCCACGACCAAATCCGACAGGCCACAGACGTCCATAACCGTTCCGCTCCACAAGTCATCCACAACGCCTCGCCCTCGACCCATCACGCGTCGGCGCGGCCGTGGGGCATCCCTCGCCCCGACCCCATCGCAGGTCTAATACGCGGATAAATAGCCACAACAACCGTAGCGCCTTCCTCAGCGGGGAGAAGACATGTGTCGGATTACTCACCTTGCCCAACTGGGGAAGGTCGCAGGCCGTTGCTTCCCATTCCACGCCCCCGCAAGAAAACGGAAGGACAGCGGGGGGAGACCCCAGACCGTGATCGAACCTGGAGATATTACGCTTGGCAACCCTTTGATATGCAGTCCAACTCGCAACGCCACCCAGCCGTCAATTGGACGGAAAAAGAGCAGGACTTGGCACTTCCAAGACGGCCTTTCATAGCTCCCACTAATCCCACCGCGTGCTTTCCGCCGAGCCAAGCCTATCTCACTACCAAGCATGCTTCGACAGAGTGCGGCGCTCGTCCTGCATGTGCCCCATTGGCCGGAGCCACAAAGGGACGTTCATCTGATGCTCTCGGTACCCTGTTTGTGTGGCTAGCGGCAGCAGCTCTCGCTGTGTGTGGAGAGAAAGAGCAGTGTGGAAACGTGGAGTCTGGGGTCTTGAGTCCGGGGTTAATGGAGGATCACGATAGCTTGCAGGCCAGCCATGGGGCAAAGACCGCGGTGACGGACCAGGCGAGTTACCCCGTCTTGAGCAAGGAGCTAGTGCTGCGAGGATAGCGCATGGGCCGCTGTACCGTCTGGCTGTTTATATATCATGGCCATGCACATCCCACTGGGGAGCTTTTTTAGACCAGCAATTTGCGGAGATCTTCACTCTTCTCTCGCTATTCTCTTCGAACGACACCTGGTGTGCTATACACCAGCGTCTGGTCTAGGGTCAAGCTTGTGGTTTGATCGTTCTGTCTGTCGGTATGTATTCGGTCCTTGTGTCCCACAACAGCTTCTCCATGCGTCATACATACTGACGAGAAGATAGATTCATACTCCCACCGACACGGTAGCATCCCCCGATCTACCCGACATCATGGCAGCTCCATCCACCGGCGCGAAGTTTATTCGCATGATCGTCAAGAACGACTCCATCAAATCCGACCCTCACGAGATCTACGGATGGCGCGCCTTCGCCATGGCGGGTTCCGCCTGTTTTGGTGGCATGTTGTTTGGTTTCGATATCGGAACCATTGGAGGTGTGCTTGAATTGAAGGAGTTCCAGGAGTGAGTGTCTCTTGTTATTTTCTTATCATCTCACGACACTGACAATCCTCCCAGCAAATACAACATCACCAACCTCGACAAAGTCGGCAAAGCCAACCTGAACGCTAACATCGCTTCCACCCTCCAAGCCGGATGTTTCGCCGGTTGCTTCATCGCCTCCTGGGTAGCAGACCGCTGGGGCCGCAAGACCGCCCTCCAAATCGCCGGTCTCGTCACCATCGTCGGTTGCATCATCCAAGCCGTAGCCATGGGCGCCCTCGCAGCCATGTACGTCGGCCGCTTCATCGCTGGACTAGGTGTAGGAGGCGCCTCCATGGTCGTCCCTCTGTACATTTCCGAAAACGCACCCCGTGGTATCCGTGGTGGACTCACAGGTCTCTACCAACTCTTCATCGCCACAGGAACCTGCCTCGCCTTCTGGGTCAACTACGGCTCCCTCATGCACCTCTCCGGCGGCGCACAAGTCTACATCGTGCCTCTTGCTCTCCAGGCTCTCCCCGCTGTTCTCCTCGTCGGCTGCATGGCGCTGAACAAGGAATCCCCTCGTTTCCTCGCTAAGCAGGATAAATGGGAGGAGGCTACCACAGTGCTTGCTCGCATGCGCAACCTACCTCACTCGCACCCCTACGTCCAGGACGAGATCAAGGACATCGCCGACCAGCTCGAACACGAGCGCATGCTCGTTGCCGGTGCCAGTATCAAGGACCTTCTCAAAGAGATGTTTACCATCCCCGGTAACCGAAAGCGCGCACTCATCTCGATTGGTCTCATGATCTGCCAGCAGATGACGGGAACAAACGCCATCAACTACTATGCGCCGCAGATCTTCGCCGCCCTCGGTCTCAAGGGCAACGCCGTCAAGCTCTTCGCCACAGGTATCTACGGCATCGTCAAGATGGTCGGCTGCTTCGCTTTCCTCATCTTCGCCGCTGATTCTCTCGGTCGCCGCCGTTCGCTCCTCTGGACATCGATTGCCCAGGGAATGGCCATGTTCTACATTGGCATCTACATGCGCGTCGACCCGCCGATTATGGGCGAACCAGTACCAGGAGCCGGATACTTCGCTCTCGTCTGCGTGTTCCTCTTCGCCCTGTTCTTCCAGTTCGGTTGGGGACCCGTATGCTGGATCTACGTGTCTGAAATCCCCGCCGCTCGTCTCCGCTCCCTCAACGTTGCCATCGCCGCTGCTACACAGGTACGTCCTAATCCCAACCCTTTTCTCTCCACATAAAAAAACAACACATACTAACGAACCTCCACAGTGGCTCTTCAACTTCGTCGTCGCGCGCGCAACCCCCAACATGATGGCCACCATGGGCCAAGGCGGCTACGGCACCTTCTTCACCTACGGCGCCTTCTGCTTCTCCATGTTCATCTTCGTCTGGTTCCTCATCCCCGAGACCAAGGGCCTGTCCCTCGAGAAGATGGACGACCTCTTCGGTATCACCGAGTTGGTTAAGAACATGGAGGCGGACCGTGAGAACCACGCTGATGACATTGACGCTAAGAATGCGACTGTGGTCAGGGAGGAGAAGGTCGGTCATTAGATCGACTGGTCTCGGGATGATTGATGCTTGCTGGTTTATTTACTGTTTGAGGTTGGCTAGGCGGCTGGAGCTTAGTAGCCTGGACATGTTGTAATGAAGTCATGGGCTTCGTGCCGCTCTTTGCACAGATTCTTGAGTTTTGTGACCTAGAAATTGTGATGGTGAGGGTGTGTGAGATGCGAACGCTACTAAATGACTGTATGAGCAAGAAACATTCCATAATTCGTGATATATATACTATGCAGGTACTCAATGCCGAAGCAAAACCCCGTACAATTCCCATCTCACGTCCCTACCAACGCCGAATGCATTGTCGTATCGTAACGCACGGCACCTAGTACGGCTCCTACTTCACACATCCCCCTCCCATCTCACCCTCCCCTCCCCCTTCCCTTATCCCCCTCCCTCCACCTACTCCCTACCAATCTCCCCCTCATCCAAAATCCCCTTCTTAACCAGCTCCTCCGGGCTCGGCCTGGACTGCAATCCCTTCTCCAGATTATCCGCGCGCATGTGCATATCGAGTTCTTTCTGGTGTCCTTGCAGTGCGGGCGCGGCGTTGGAGGCAGGCAGGATGTTGCGCTCGATGAGGTCGGCGCGTTCGGGGCGGGCGTTGAGGCCTTTCTTGAGTTGGTCGGTTGCGCGTTGGCGCTCGAGTTCGAGGGCTTTGGCTTGGAGGGCGCTGATACGTGTCCCGCGTTAGCGGGGCTCTTGGTGTAAATTGGGAAGAGGGGGATGGGGTCGGAGAAGGGAAGTAGGAGGAGGTGGAAGGGTGAAAGGGACGTACGGAGCAGTCGTGGTATCCAGCAGAATATGTCTGTTCTTCAGATCCTGCGGCTCAGGCCTATGCTGCAAATGCTTCTCCAAACTGTTCCGGCGGTCCAGAGAGCGAACGGGCGAGATGGGTGTCTCGTCGACGATTACCTCAGCCGCGCTTTCGTTCTTGATATCCTCAGTCGCCATGTTGGAAGTAATTCGTCAGTTCGCTCGTCGATATCGAGGTTGAGTGAGTAAGTAAGTAAGTCGAGCAAGCGGTAAGTAGTGAGTGAGTGTGTGAGTGATCAAAAGGGAACTTGTGAAGCTGCAGGTATGGGCTAGCTCCCAGGTACTTGTACTTGTCCGCACTCGAAGGGCAGCAAAGCAAGCTGGTTTGTCGGGTGCCTGCCTGAGCTTCCAAGCTCCGTCCCCATCACGTTGCACCGCACCACCCCGACCGCGGCTTGGTTGCGGGGCAGCCGCACATCCCTGCATGAGCAAACCTTGGAAGCGCGTCAGGTGTGTGACGGGCGTCACCTACGCACGCCAGACGAGCGACAAACAAAACATTCTTGTCTCCCCGAGGTTTTCATCTGACATTCTGCCATGGCAACAGCTGTCATTCATCCTTCCTTCATACCCTTGATTGTGTTTGGGGGGTCATCCAGGTACACAGCCACTGCCTTGATTTCGCTTTCGCGTCAGCCGGAAGCTCGTACCTGACCGCCAGAGCGTCCATGCACCCCAGAGCCTGATGTCACGATGGCGGCGAATGAGTCTTTTTACGTTTTTCTCGTTCAAGGCGCCGAAAGGTGCAGCGACGCAGTTGTGAGGCTGCAGTACAGATGGGGGACCCATAGCTTGGGCAGCTACCTGCTGTCGATCATCTGGGGCGCAAGTGCATGAGTGGGTAATTACGGCGTTGGCCGGCTTTACTACTAGTTCAACGACAAACACGCTAAGCTGAATCTACACGAGAACGGCCTGTACGACAACGTCAATGCTAACTATAGTAAACTTCTGTCATCTGTTTGGAAATATGGATGAGTGTTTGGATGAGCAGAGCAGTCACAGATAGCTTTGGAGGAGAGAAATAGAGGAGTATAGGCATATTCTTTGTATACAATATCCTATGTACTAAAGATCATCACCAAAGAAGCTAGCTACAAGAAAAAGACCGACCATCATTCACCACCTACCACCTCACACCTCACACCCATCCCAACCTAAGCCGACTGACAAGCCGTAACAGTCTCAGTCTTCGTCCCCGGAACCGTCGTAACAGCGGCGCACGCCTACACAAATCACCACCACAGTCAGCTTACTAGATCCACCGATAGCCAGAATAGTATAAAGGGTACGTACCGGTCCAAGACCACCAAGGTTAATCGTCTCAAGCGCACATCCGGCACAGTCGGTGAAGACGGTAGACGTCGTTGTTGTGGCGTTAAAGGTACAGGTTCCGACTTGAATATCAGGGAATGTGAAGACAGTCTTGGTGCAAGGTGTAGGCGATGGCGTGGGAGAGAGAGAAGGAGGTGGTGTGGTGAGAGGCGACGAGGATGCTGATTGCATCAGGAGAGTTGCGACAACGACGGAGAAGAGTGAGGAGAACATGGTTGATCTTGGTGATGCTGGAAGGTATCGATGTTGGGTGACTTCAACGAGCCAAGCATGCAAACTATATAGACATCTGAACAAGACATCTCACTAAGTGAGATGAGATGAGGTCAAAGGGTTAAAGGGCCAAATTGCATCACTCGTATTGTTCATTGTACTGGTGCGGCAGCTTAGAAGAGCTCGGCGGTAAGCCGGCACGGGTTCATATGGAAGAGAGTTCGAGATCAATATCATTATCGCATTAACTATGAAACGTCCATATTATGGGCGTCCAATCCCGTGACTATTGACAAGCCTCCAACTCCGGTAATGAGAAAGTTACATCATTGAGGAGAGATACTGCCTAAAGGACAGTCAGAAGCTGAACATGCCGCGTACGCTTTTTCCATCTTGGTCACTGGTTCCGGCCCTCTTAGTCAAGGTGAACCATGCTTGTCGAATCAATCTGTACTCGTGCTATGACACAGCTGACATGCTCACGAGAGGAAGACATTTGTGCTGATGAGGTACATTTAAGCACCGTCATCCTCACCAATACGGATGGCACCCTCGCGGCTGAGACCGTTGGCCCAGAAGCCGTTAAGCTCAACATCGCTCTCGCGCATGTTGGCGTGGGCAACCAAGAGCCAGGCACCGAAGACAGCCTTGGCGAGGACATCGAGGACAGCGTAAGCAATGATCTCAGTGTCGACGCTAGCCTTGCGGGCACCATCGGCGATACCCCAGACACTGGAACGGATTAGTATGAATTCGGGAGGCGTGAATGTGGATGAGACTTACATGGGGTAGGCAGTCCAGAGGACAGCGGTGTAGGCAGCGATGGAGATGAAGAAACCGCGGAGCTTGTCACCCTTGGCGCGGGCGTTGGCACCACCGTTAAGACCAAGGTGCCAGAAGACGAAGAGGAAGGCAATGCAGGAGATGGTGTACCAGCCCCACTTCTGAGCAGTGTCCTCGGTACCGAAGGCAGCGAAGAGACCAGTGAGAACCATGATGATGTCGGCAACAACCATCATAATCATGTGTCCACCGGACATGCCAGCAAGGAGACCGAGGTCGAGGAGCAGGAGAGGGGTAGTGATGGTCCAGTCGACGTAACGGGCCCAGTAGACCTGGCGGTAGACGACGTTGTAGGTGTCGGGGACGTGGTCGTGCTGCTCGCGCTCGACCTCCTTCTTGAGGGAGACACCAGCGCCGGAGGCCATGGCGAAGTAGGAGAGGGCAGCGGTGAGGGTGATGATGGTGGTGATGACATGGTAGAGGCGCTTGTTCTGGGGGGTGTTAGAATTTGCCCTCTGAAGTAGCTTCAGATGGTACTCACCAAAGGCACCTTCCAGGACATGACGGTGAAACCGGCAGAGGCGATCAGCATGAGAACAAAGACGACCCAGAGGGTCTTCATTCCAGCATCGCCGGCAACCTCGTAGGTGGGCTCAGGTCCGGGGGCGACGGTTGGGATGGGAGCAACCGAAGGCAGCGACGAGGCCGTCGCGGTGGGCAGCGGGAACATCTCCGAGGTCTTCTTCAAGACTTCCTCAATCATGATGGCGGTTTGGTGTTGTGATGGGACTCCGGGACCTGTACAGCAACAATTGGTGCTGAAGGATCTATGGGAGAGTTGACAATGAGAAGCAGGAAGAGGGTGAGACGAGGCGGAGTTATAAAGAGGAGAAGCTAGGCAGCTATGCGGTCACCTGTTGGAGCTGCGGCAGGAGCTATACGAAACAGGAATCGAGACGTCATAGCCCCTCACGGCATGCACTATTGATTGGTTCCCGCTACGGCCTGCGTGAGAAGCAAGGATGCGCCAACGCCAGCTCTGCGCCTGGAGCTTCAGAATAAGGGTCTCCGCCGGCTGCGCGAACATGTTGTAATCATGGCAGTGCTGTCAAGCTGGCTGTCAATTCACTCACTCTGCCCATGTGATTGCGACATTGAGCGCGCTCGTGGGGCGGGGCGGGCTGGCAGGCGCGAGGTACTTTGGTACATCATCAGTGCTTCATCACGCCAAGCCGTCCAGGATGTTCCCCACAGCAACGCGCTGTGCACGTCCCCAGCAGCTCCCACTGCTCCCATTCTAGCCCTGGCAAACCGGTTTCAGTACCACCGATTGTATTAACTTTTCGATCTCCTCCTCCGTGCGCCGGCATGTGTCTCATGGATGGGTCCCACGATCGCCTCGATTCTATCGAGTTTGCTGACATCGCCATGCCCATCGAGCTGTACTCCGAGTATATGCGACGCGACCCCGCCCACTGTACATTGGCGCGCGTTTTACATTCCGTCAGTCCACAGCCCCTCACGGTGGTGTGATGTGGACCAACCATCCAGAGCTACTCGACAGCCGAACGGCCCGAAGTGCATAGCTTTGCACTTTATAGCCAGCATCCCAGACGACTCTTCATTGTAGACGCGCATCGCTGTCCATCACCTCATGTGTTGAGACAATACCTAGGTACATGTCACCGGATCACGCGGCAGTGCGGAGAAGGCGGAGTGCATACGCCTGTACACCCTCACATCAGCGCGGCCGGTCAAACCTAGATGCAGTTACCTGCTACAACTGGTACTGCGACTTGCGTAGATCGACAGCCTTGTACGTTGTATCTGGCAATGCGCCAAGT